CATCAGTTCGATCTGAAAGGATTCCCGCACCTACCCTTTACATGAAGTAAATGCATTCAAAAGCCACGACAAGGAGGAAGGATTGCTGGTCAGTCGCACCCTGGTAGTCCTGCCACTCTCTAGGACAAGCACCACATAAAGACAATAGGGAGCGTCACACGACGATGACCTCCAATATACATAAAATCATCCAGAGTAAAACAATCAAACTAATAGAGACAACCTACCTCAAATATCAACAAACCACCTCAAATGCCCTCTGAATTCTGGCAGTTAGTTTGGGCAAACTGCGCGGGTGGGTTGGTCACCAACTAGTCATCCTAGCTGGTCACCCCGACTGGTCATCTAGGCGAACCAGTCATCCTGACTGGTCATCCCACCACTCAATGGTCGACTGACCTTCCTACCTCCCAGTGGTCGACTCGTCTTCCCACCACTCATTGGTCGACTCGCCTTCCGACCACTCAGTGGTCGACGGACCTTCCCACTTCCTAGTGGACGACTCGTTTTCCCACTACTTAGTGGTCGGCTCGTCTTCCCACAACTCGGTAGTCGACGGACTTCCCACCCCTCAGTGGTTGTCATGCATGGAGTAGTAGTCAGATTATAGTGAAGCAAATGCATATAACTGCAGGAGTAAAGAACCTAACAATATCATATGACGGGGAATCTAATAGATAACAGGGAGTTACGGGTGAAGGGTTTACTGTAGAGTCTAAGGGTTATAGGAGAGAAGTCTAGTCGTATAGAGTCTAGGGCGGAGTCTAGGACACAGTAGGGTATAAAGCATGATCGACAAGAAGTGGTCAAAAGGAGTATGGGATATCATAAATCTGAGAACGGGAGACGTTCTCAGATAATATTTGGTGGATGGGAATACTAGCTGAGAACGGGAGACGATCTTAGATAATATTTGGCGGATAGGCATACTGGCTGAGAACGGGAGACGTTCTCAGGAAAGTCATTGGCGGAGTGGCATACTGCTGAGAACGGGAGACGTTCTTAGGAAAGTCATTGGCGGAGTGGCATACTGCAGAGGACGGGCGACGTTCTCAAAAATCTTTGGCGATTGGCGTACTGGCTAAGAACGGGTGACGTTCTCAAAAGCCATGGGCGGATGAAAATATTGACTGAGAATGGGAGACATTCTCAAAAATCTTTGGCATATGGGCATACTGGCTAAGAACGGGAGACGTTCTCAAAAATATTTGGCGGATAGGCATACTGGCTGAGAACGGGAGACGTTCTCAGGAAAGCCATTGGCGGAGTGGCATACTGGTATAGAACGGGCGACGCTCTCAAAAATCTTTGGCGGTTGGGCGTTCTGGATAAGAACGAGTGACGTTCTCAAAAGCCATGGGTGGATGAATATATTGACTGAGAACGGGAGACGTTCTCAAATATCTTTGACGTATGGGCATACGGGTTAAGAACGGGAGACGTTCTCAAAAATATTTGGCGGATAGGCATACTGGCTGAGAACGGGAGACGTTCACAGGAAAGCCATTGGCGGAGTGGCATACTGCTATAGAATGGGCGACGCTCTCAAAAATCTTCGGCGGTTAGGCGTTCTGGCTAAGAACGGGTGACGTTCTCAAAAGCCATGGGCGGATGAATATATTGACTGAAAACGGGGGACGTTCTCAAAAATCTTTGACGCGTGGGCATACTAGCTAATAACGGGTGACGTTCTTAGAAATATTTGGCGGACGGGCATACTGGCTAAGAATAGGAGACGTTCTGAAGAATCACTAAAGATCAGAACTATCAAACGCGCAACCATGAAATGCTAAGAACGAAGGCACAAAACAAATGAAGGAGCAAACAATGAACAGAAAAAATAGAATGAGCATGTTAGAAATCGTCATTACAACACCCAAGTGGTCCAGTTCAAAAAAAAATGTTACATATCATCTAGAAAGAAGAATCATAGTTGGAAGCATCCCTTTGTTCAGCTCCATCCTGACAACAAAGATCATCAGCTCTTGGACTTGCATCATCCATTTTCCCAAGGACACATCGATATTAGAAACATCAACCATCACATGAAGGTTGGCAGTCAAGTCCATATAATTATGGTCCAGAGGAACCTTTCATCGCTTATTCAAGCACTGCGACAATCCGGAACCTGAAAAAAGAAGGGTCAGAAGTAAGTTACGACTTAGAAAGAGGAGTAAATTGCCCTAGGCATAGGACTGCCTTGAAGAAAACAACAAAAAGATGAACGAGTGGGGAACTAACCACAAAATGACCAACGCAAGAGCCGCGGAACCACAACTCCACAAGCAAACCTGAAAGAGATAGCAAAACACATCAAATTGCACTGGCATATTCTCTCCCTCTCTCTCTCTCTCTCTCTCTCTCTATATATATATATATATATATATATATATATATATATATATATATATATATATATATATATATATATATATAAATTTACTGGACCCCATTCTTTATTGGAACGGCCCTGACCACAAGCAAACCTGAAAGAGATAGCAAAACACATCAAATTGCACTGGTATATTCTCAAAATATATATATATATATATATATATATATATATATATATATATATATATATATATTTAAATTTACATAAATATATTTCATATATATATAACAAAAAAAAAGGCCGAAACATTTTCCAGAATATATACATATATATAACATATTCAATAATAATAATAAATAAATAAAAAAAGAAAAAAAAAAAAAAAACAAAAAAAGACGTCGTGTTACAGCTGGATTTGGCCAGCTGTAAACAAGACCTGGTCGGTCGCAGCGACCTACTGGCGTTGTTACGGCTGGCTAAATTGGCTAGCCGCAAATAAGGCCTGGTCGGTCGCAACGACCGACAGGCATTGTTACGAACACCTCGGAGGAAAGGAGACGACGCACCGACCTATTTGGAGAAGAAGAGTCGCACGGGAAGTCTCCGTTGTCATTGCTAAGGTCGCGTTTTGCCGTCAAAAATGGAGGAGGAATGAGTTGAGAGATGCAGAATTACAAAGTACGGGTATGGAAGATGAAAATGGCTTTGGCCTGAACAGCAACTTGAAGAAAGAAGTAAGAAGATATGCCTTGCTTGCTTGCATCTATTTCTCAAACATATTTGGTGGATGGACTGGGTTCCTATCTTCCGTTCTAAGCAGATAGTGTGGAATGGGTTCCCTCCCTACTTTCTTGCATCTATTTCTTCTGCCAGAAACTGCCTTTGCGAGAGGGTGTTTGGATATATAGAGTACATAGGCGAAGACCATCGGTTACTTCACAGCTGCTATGTATGCATTTAATACTTTCTCTGCAGTCCTATATGTTTATTCTGTTATTAACAGTCTCATGTATGTCATTTGTCAGCACATGGAGAAGCACACATAATCTTCTAGTTAGTCTTTACACTTTGGATATACAGAGTACATGCAAGAACCAAGGGTTATTTCGCCGGTGCCGTGCACATGGAAGCACACATAACCCTCTAATTTGTCATATATATATATATATATATATATATATATATATATATATATATATATATATATAAAAGAAGAGTTACAGTAACGTGAACCTTCACATCCTTTCCTGTTCATAATTTTGCTATTGTCATATTATTATTATTATTAGCAATCAACCTCAACCTTGCGATCGAGGCTTGGTCGGCCGGAGGCATCAGATACGCAGAAAGGGAAGTGCGAAATTGTGCAATCATTTCCCCGTGCTCGTCCAAAATGCATGCTTCAGAACCCCCAAATCAAGCAGCAAAGGAATATAATCCAACAACAGCATATTGTTTTGGTTTCCGCAATATCAATTTTGTTTTCAAGAGGAGAGCTGTAACAACAAAGATTTAGGAAATAATTACAAAAGCTTATCGGACTGGAAGAATCACTTGAGATTCAGCCAAAAGGAGTTAATGGCATGAAAGAAGACTCTTTATAGTCCTAAAGATTGTACTCATAGTTGTACTCTTTTTTCCTTAGCTAAGTTTTTTCCCTACTGGGTTTTTCATAGTCTAAGGTTTTTAACGAGGCAACTACCGTAATCTGGACCCCCTACATTCAGCTTTGGCTTAGGGGATCACTATGGACTGCTCAGTTTAACGGTTGCATTCAAAATGACCACCACCTAGAAGACTTGACTTTTAGCAGCAGAGAACGGATCAGAGAATATTTTTTAGATACTTTCCTAAGACATCGACTTCGCGAAATCTCAAAAAAGTGAGGAACTAGATGATGGATGGTATACTAGGCCTGGGCCACATGGACCGGCCTATGAAAGCAAATGGATCAAAGAAGCCCAAGAAAGATATATGATACGAAACAACCCAAGAGTTTGTCAAAGATTAGGCCTGTTATTCCCAATATAATTAGAATTGGACTTATTATTTCTAGTATAATAGAATTAGGTTTTATTATGTAACTAAGACTCCCAATATGAGGCAGTCTAGAATTCTTATTCCTTGTAGGGCTCTAGGCCCAAAATATGTATAAATAGAACTCTCACACAGAGAGGAGGGGAGGACTATCATTATTCACCAGCAATACTCATCAATACAAAATTCCTATATTTTCTCCATATATTTTTCCTATATTTTGCTTACATTCTCGTTATTCTAGCGGTAATGTTGGTCTGCCGTTGACTACCCAAAAGTCATAAAACCAACACTATTAAATATTTAAAAGTGGATTCATGCACATCAACACCCTGTGGTGGGTGACATTTACGTTTATATATACGGAGTAATATATATGCTTAATCGGACCTTGATAATATGACACTCGGTTGTGGCATCAACTATTCACACCAATTTGTAGCACATTTTGGAAGACATTGTGATAAAGGACATTTGTTTTAGAGTTTAATACAAAATGCATACAAAAGGATTTCCAAATCTAATGCTTCTGGCTTACAAAATGGACAAAATATAGAGGGTTAATACTAATGAGTAATGATAGAGCAAAAGCATCAATTGGTAAAATTTGGAAATTGCAAAAAGATGCTAGAAAAATGAAAATACACCAATACAAAATGGGGATGAGATTATTGCAAACATACCCATACCCATTAAACAAGAATAATTTCTGCTTCTGCGAAGGCACGAGGAAAATGCAAAAGCTCTTGAATAATTTTAACCTCATCACATGTGAGAAATAACATTTGATGATGACGAACGATAACAACCTTTTCTAGTGCTGAAAAATTAGCAAGTAGCCCCTTAATGAAAAGGATTTCACACGGTAACCCTCTAAATGAGTCAAGCTTCAAGGTATGAAGCATCTCATTTGTTTGATTTGCATGAAGATATGACAAGAGCTCCGACAAGGCGTCTTCATGTTTCGGCATCTAAAGACAAGACAAGACAAGACAAACAACTAAAATATCAATGAATCAATAAAACAATGAACAGTTTATGCATGAAAATAAAGATTACCGGTAATAAATCGATATCAAGTTTGCATAACTTGGGACATTTTCGTAGCAAATGAACAAATGAGGAACTTGGGAAACACGACAGCTTAAGGTATTCCACATTTAGTTCTGGAAATTCCATCCTAGCAAATTCGTCAACAATTTTCTTGGAGATCAAATAGAAAGAAAGTCAGATTAATTCCTTAAAACAATATAATTATAAACCATTAAAAAAACAGGAAAAAAAGAGTTGGTAATATTACCCAGAGAGGACCTTCTAAATCAAGAGTACAAATAGATCTCAAGTTCAAGTTAATGGGGAGAAACTTGCCGTGCACATCAGACGAGCTAGATTTGATTGTTAAACTACACAGCTTTGGAGCAATAATGTTAAAATGACACATGTTTCGGCAGTTGAGAAATGACAAAGTCTCAAATAAGGGAACATTAGGAGCATAATCTTGAAGATTTGTAGCAACAAACTCAACAAACACTCAAAACAAAGTGAAAGAACATTTGGAAATATGCAACGATTGCGAGGGAAATTGATTTCATCAACAACGGCACCATAAAGATGCAATCTCTTGATTGTTGAACAAGAGAATATGCAACTTGGCAACTTTTTATAACCATTTAGCAAGAAACTAATGTAGATTTCAACAACACCTTTCTGTGTGGCTAAAAGTATCACTTGGTCAACGTCATGAGACTGGGGCCTATTTATATCCTTTGTGTTGGAGAAGAACTTTGTTAATTACATCAAAAGCCATAGATTCCTGGGACAAATGTTTCTTATTAAGATAATGAAAGAAGTGATAATCAAAGCTGAGTTGTGTAAGATTGGACCAAACATCTCTCCAGATGGTGGATAAAAGAGCAACTTTAGCAGCTTCTTCAATTCGAAAGAATCCCAATATGTGGTCAAGTATACTGGCGGGAAGCCGACTAATAATATCTCCCCCAGATGCCATAATCCAATAACCTTAACATATGCAAATTAAATAACAAATGAATCAAAAATTAAAATGAACTTGGGGATATCAATTAAATTGCAAGTGCTAAACACAGACATAGGAGTCTGCCAAGTAAGAACATGAACATCGTACCTGTAGTATGCAGAGTAAACAACGAACGATTCAAAACAAACAATCAACTTGCCCAACAAAAATTGAATCCACAAAATATATATGTCAGCCAATCGAGAGTGACAGGATAATAGGAGCTGGCACCCGACCCGGATCATAAGTGGGCATCTGACCCGGCGCCATATTTGACCCAACACCACATGGAGACCCAACGGGCAAAACTCCAACGGACAGAATTCCAACAGGTGTCACCTTTATTGCAATTGAAGCCACCATCGATGAGAGAGAATTAAAGGCTTGGCTCTCCATTTATGTCCCATCTTGTTACCGTTGGCACCTTTGTGTAAGTAGATGCTCCCTCAGCTTGAGGGGACACGTTGAATACTCTGGACAAAGACACGTTGTACTTTCTATACTAAGACACTAAGGCAATACAACTATTGTCACTCTTTCCCACAAAGTTATTCTAATATTATTATTATCGGTAACATTATTACCGTCATTGGTGCTTTCATTGAGAGCCTGAGTCCAACACCCAAGCAGGCGACTATACACACAACTCTTTTCCTCTTTCAACAGCAAGCTTGAAGGAATGGTGTCCCGCAGCTCCCACGGTTTTCACAACGTGAACAATGGCAGTGCCTCAAGTGACCTCCAGGACCAACTCACCAACAATCGCGGAGGGGACGTCCGAGAACAGCTCAACAACGGGAGGCCCGGGGACCTTCGAGACCAACTCAACAATGGAGGGGTGAACCAAGCCGTGAACCTCCAGGCGACCGCCGATGTCATTCAGCAAGCAGTGACGGCGGCGCTGAATCATGTGGCGATGGGACTGCAAGGCCAAGTGCCCCCGCGGCCCCAGGAAATAGGGGTGGAGACCCAAAGAAGTGGACCGGCCAGACGACAACCAGGCCCTTCCCAATCTGCACCAGAACGATTGGGACAGAGGGCGCCCGTGCGGCAAAGATTAGGATCACGGGCCGAGGGGTCCTCTACCAGAGGCCCTCGCCAACACGAAAACAGAGAAGCCGAGAGATCACCCGCAGAGGAGGTGGGCGAGTCTCGGGAGCCGACCCCACGCCAACACGTTGATGAGTCGGCTTTACGTCGACACTTTGAGGAGCGACGCGTCGAAGAGCCGGCTCCGCGTCGGCACTCGGCGGGGAAGCGACGCGTTGATGACCGGGTTCCACACCGATACTTGGAGGAACAGCAGCCGGCCCTGCGCCGGCACCCTGACGAGTCGGCCCTGGTCGAGAGGCTGCAGAGAAGAATCGAGGAGTTAGCAAGAAGGATGGAGGCACGGGAGCAGTCGCCGGAACCCGAGGTACGGATGACAGCACCATTCTCCCCAAGCATCATGGACGTACCTTTGTCGAGGGACTTTAGGTTTCCCGCCATCAAGGAGTACACGGGGGTCACTGACCCACGTGTCCACATGACGAGGTACAAGGCTGCTATGGTAATGATCGGGGCAGGGGACGCCATCATGTGCCGAGCGTTCTTGTCCACCCTGGATGGAGCGGCCCAAGACTGGTTCAACACCATCCCGGATGGGTCGATCCAAAACTTTTGGGAGTTGTCCAAGAGCTTCCTGACATACTTCTCCGGTAGCATACAGCGTAAGAAACCCTTCTCTCACCTCTGTGTAGTGAAGCAAGATAGAGGCGAGAGCCTCAAAGACTTCCTGATAAAATGGAAAAAGGAAGTTAATAATGTCTACGACTTCGACTCCAAGGCGGCGATCCCGATATTTATCCATGCCTTAAGATCAGGGTATTTCCACAAGCAGCTGAACGCCCACCACCCCCGCTCTTACGAAGATCTGATAAGGACGACTAGCCGCTATGCCGAAGCAGTGGACATCGACAGGAAGAAGAAGGACGAAGAGGATGGTAGGAAAGGTGGGAAGCCTGGGAAAGCGGGTCCGCCCAGCCAGGTACCACTCTCGAACCACCCGACCGCAGGGAAAGGCCGAGACCACGAACGACCTTGCCTGGCCCCCTTGCATAATTTAACTCCTCTTACCCATCCCGTCAGTGTCATTCTAAAGCAAGCTGAGGAGATGAGAATGGTAGAATTCCCCGAGGAGTGCATGAAGGTCTCCCCAAAGGCGGACCAAACAAAGTACTGCAGGTTTCATAGGCAAACCGGCCACGATACGGATGAGTGTCACGTTTTGAAGAGACAAATAGAAGAACTCATCCAGCAGGGCTACTTCTGACATTTCGTCAAGCGATCCAAGCAGCAGCAGCAACAGCCGCAACACAATCCACCAAAAAATGTCTGGAGGAATGAGGATGGCACAGAGCCGTCCACCTCGAACGCCAAAAAAAAGAGAACACGGCCAAATATCTGAGCAGAATGATAGCGAGAAAGAAATCTAGGTGGCGCCCAGACGACAAAAGAAGCACACCATACACTTTATCTACGGTGGGCCCGCAGGGGATGACATGCCCGCGGAAAGAAAGAAGTGGAGTCGGCAGCTATACGTGGGAGAAGTGGTGAGTCTTCCTAGAGAAGAGAAACAGAGACATGAGGCCATCACCTTCTCTAATGATGACCTCCCAGAGGGCCCGTTACCCCATCATGACACCCTGGTGATTGAGATGGACGTCAACAATGTCATTGTTCGCCGCATCTTAGTCAACACGGCAAACTCAGTCAATGTGATGTATAACAATGCCTTCACCAAGTTAGGGATACCTAGGAACCAGCTCAAAGAAGTACGTATCCCACTCTCGTGATTTACGGGTGATTCAGTGGAGACGGAGGGGTTAGTGGTCTTACCAGTACATACCCCACTCTCGCAAACTTGACGTGGAATTCATCGTGGTAAGACTCACTTGTGTGCACAACATCATTTTGGGGAGACCGGCGCTGGAGGACCTCAAGGCCATAGTGTCGGTGGAACACTTGTGTATGAAGTTCCCTACTCCGAGTGGGATAGGTGTCGTCAGAAGAGACCAGCGAGCAGCACGCAGTTGTTACGTAAAAGCATGCAAAAAGATTGGCGAAAAGGACCTACAAGTTCACAGCATATGCAAGGATGATCGATCGGGTATGGAACTCAGAACATTTAATTAGATAATATAGGTAATACTTTGTAGTCATGGTCCGCCCAGACCTGTAACACAATATTTTGTAATCATGGTCTGCCCAGGTTACTCAAATAAAAGGTTCTCATCACCACCTTCGATCAACCAAAAGCCGGCCGACGCCGCATTGTAAAAATAAAAATAAATAAATAAATAAATAAATAAACCAAGGCCGAGGCGCACGCCTCGGCCCAGCGCGGGCTGAGGCGACGCCTTGGCCCAAGGCACGACTGAGGAGGCGCCTCAAGCCGAGCCGCAAAAAGGCCTGAAGAGTGCGCCTCGGCCAGCGCCCACGGATGAGGCGACGCCTCGGCCAAACCCGGCTAAGGCGACGCCTCAGCTGAAAAAAAAAAAAAAAAAAAGGCCGCCAGGCTCACGATTCGGCCAACGACTGAGGCAGCACCTCGGCCGGTGGCCTGAGGCGCACGCCTCGGCCAGGCCGAGGCCCGCGTCTCGGCCACTGGCCGGGGCGGCACCTCAACTTGTCCGTAAAAAAAATATAAAAAAAAAAAAGAAAAAAAAAACCGGAGCTCGCCTCGGCCACGATCGATCGAGGCGACGCTTCGACCACGATCGGCCAAGGCGCACGCCTCGGCTACGATCGGCCGAGGTGCATGCCTCGGCCACGGTCGGTCGAGGCGACGCCTCAACCACGATCGGCCAAGGCGACGCCTCGGCCACTATCGACCGAGGCGCACGCCTCGGCCACGAACGATTGGCCGGGGTGCACGCCTCGGCCACGATCGGTCGAGGCGACGCCTCGGCCGCGATCGGCAGGAGGCACGCACCTCGGCCAGCCTAGGCCGCAGCCCGTCTCGGCCAGCATACAAATAAAAAAAAAAGGTCGAGGCGCATGCCTCGGCCAAATGCGCCTCGGC